AGCCTGCGAGCGCACGTGCGAGCGTGTCGCCACGGGTGTCTTGAACGACTGGGCTCCTCTCTGCTGCCTCTTGTACCTGTAAACAGCTGTCAAACACTACACCACTGTAGCATCTGGCTGCCAGCTCGTTTCTGTATCTCTCTGCCCCGCACCCTGGTGCTGGGTAGAGCGTGCGAGCGCGCGATTGCGTGTCACCCTTGTCCAGTGCTACCACCGAGTGACGTCGACAATGATCCTGGCGGCGATGCTCGCAGCTAGGCTGGCTGTTGCACAATCACTCTACTCTCCCGGCGATGCTCGATGATAGGCTGGCTGTTGCACAATCGCTCTGCTCTCTGCTTGCTCCTCTCTGTCACTCTCCCTGTACCTTCCTGTACTACCACTACTGGCAGCCTAAGCTCTGCACCCCTACCCTGGGGTTGTGCGGGCACGCACGTGCTCGCGTGTCACCCTCGTCCAGTGCTGGTAGTCTTGGCTAGCACCGTACAGTGCTGGTAGTCTTGGCTAGCACCGAGTAACACAACAGTACTGGTGGCAGTGATGATGGAGGATAGGCTGGCTGTTGGGCAATCACTCTGCTCCCTCTCCTTGCTCCAGTCTCAGTCTCCCTCTCTCACTACCACTACGTGACGTCAACAATGGTCCTGGTAGTGATGGAGGATAGGCTGGCTGTTGGGCAATCACTCTGCTCCCTCTCCTTACTCCAGTCTCAGTCTCCCTCTCTCACTACCACTACGTGACGTCAACAATGGTCCTGGTAGTGATGGAGGATAGGCTGGCTGTTGGGCAATCACTCTGCTCCCTCTCCTTACTCCAGTCTCAGTCTCCCTCTCTCACTACCACTACGTGACGTCAACAATGGTCCTGGCAGTGATGATGGAGGATAGGCTGGCTGTTGGGCAATCACTCTGCTCCTGCTCCTTGCTCCAGTCTCAATCTCCCTCTCTCACTACCACTACGTGACGTCACCAATGGTCCTGGTAGTGATGGAGGATAGGCCGGCTGTTGGGAAATCACTCTGCTCTCTCTCCTTGCTCCTGTCTCAGTCTCCCTCTCTCTCACTACCACTACGTGACGTCAACAATGGTCCTGGCAATGCTGGAAGATAGGCTGGCTGTTGGGCAATCAAACTGCTCTCTTTTTGCTCCAATCTCAATCTCCTTGTTCTACCACTACTTGCAGTCTAAACTCTGCAGTACTCTACGACTACAACTGCATTGCTGACAAGTAGCTGAAAAGCAAACACTTCCAATGCTAGAAAACACTACTTGAGAGTCCCTTAGGACCTTGTCTCCTGCCCCCAAACAGAAAACTTTCTTCTAGTTGCCCCTATCCAGGTGAAGTGCTCAGAGGCCTATGCTCTCTGTCTCACTGTACCCTGTTGACTTGACCCCCTAGTGACTGTGCTAGACGCTGGCTCACAACTGGTCGAAGCAGTCCTAGGACTCAGCTGGTCATGCCCAGTGCGCTGTGACGTGCGAACTCTGTGCGTAGGGTGTGTGAGATGTGAGGTGCGTATGAGTTTCGTGTGAGTTTCGTGTGAGTTTTGTTTAAAGTTCGTGTGAATTTCGCTCGAGTTTCGTGTGAGTTTTTGTGCGAGGTGTGTATGTGACAGCAGTGCTACTGTCACTGTTTATGCTGCTGCCGTCACTGCTGCTGTGGGTATGAGTGTGTGAATAACGCCGTCGTGTCACCTGCCAGACCAGGTTACCCCGAGTGGTATTTATGGTGTGAATTTATTACTCACGCTGCCCCGGCTTTGTACTCTGTAGTGAGTACAGTCATGTAGATTATGGTGTTAATTTACATGAACATGGATCAGTGACGACACTAACTACAAACAAGAATGTGACATGTCACCTGCTTGACCAGGTGAACTGAGTGGTATTTATGGTGTGAATTTATTACTCTTGCTGCCCTGGCTTTGTACTCTGCACGACACCCACGGTCGACTGGGTACTCACAGCTCGGAGTGAGGGTAACAAGGATGCAGTTTACCTGGTTATGGGCCGTTACACGCCCGATTGGCTGAGAGACTCACCTACTCTCCCCCTGACTCACTTGTGAGGTCTGCATTTGCCACTAAGGTGTACAAGGCATAGGCATAGTGGTGGCCTGCCGGAAGCGAAGGCTAGTTTGTGTGTTTCTGAACATTCAAGCGATGCCAACGCGAATCCCGCGAATTATTATTATTATTATACATATAGTCTCCACATATAGATATTGGTGTGTGATCTAGAGTAACACGAATCAGTGAAGACACTTAACTATTACTTTCCAACTGCATAACCCACAGCCCCAACCACAGCATCCCACCTTCTCGTAAGCTTATCTCTTATTGGCGATGGTGCAACCGTGAGAATAAAGCATTCAAGAAACTAGCAAGAATGTGACACGAGTAGAGTCTGGCTATACTCTCTAATAGTGCTAGGGGGGGGGGGGGGGGCGGCGGTTATGTAGTCTTGGTGCTAGTCAATACCTCTAGTTATCTTGGTGTGCGATTTACAGGAACGTGAATCTGTGAAGACACTAACTTCTATTATCAGGCAAAAAAAGCATAGCGTAGGGCCCTGAGCTTCCAAGCTCTCTCGTTAAACAAGAATGTGACAGGAGTAGAGCCCAGTACAGTCACCCCAAGTACACTGCTGCTCTGTGAAATCCTATTGAGTCAGACAAGTACTCTAATTTCAGAAATTTTCGGTGCTCAATATTTTCGGTATGAGGGCAACAGGCTAGGTTAGGTGAACAGAAATTTTCGGTTCAGAGAAGCAGTTCCCTATTGGATTATGTGTGTTAGTGTTTGTTCGGTGTATTGAAATTTTAGGTATGAAACAGACGCACCGAAAGTACCGAAAATAAAAGTACACCAAAAATTTGTGAAATTACAGTACTGTAAACCGCCCAATGTTTGCGTCACGAACGTTTTGCGATCTCTCAGAGCCAGCGAGTTGACGACGGCAAATGTTCGCGGAGCCCTGTGGCCGCACATATACTCCCACTGTTGAAGTTTGATTTCCCGATGGTTAATATTTGCGTTGTGCTCTTCTCGCGAAATTAGCAAACATTAATACGTCGCAAACGTTACGCAGTTTACAGTGCACGCCGTGTGCGTTGTGCAGCCCCAGACCCTGCCACATGGTGGTGCAGGGTGCAAACTTGGCTCGCGCGATTGGATTTCATTGAGCTGCACTGTAGCTCTGCTGTGCTTTGCACTCCACCTGAAGTACAGTAAAACCTGGTGTAAGCAACCTCTGGGTTTAGCCACCTCTGGGTTTAGCGACCTCTGGGTTTAGCCACCTCTGGGTTTAGCCACCTCTGGGTTTAGCGACCTCTGGGTTTAGCCACCTCTGGGTTTAGCGACCACCTGCTCTTAACGACCGTTTTTCCATGTACGAACAGTTCTACACAGACACTGTGGGGCCTGGTTCTAAAGACCACCTGGCTTTAACGACCGCTTTTGCTTGCACCGTGGGGTGGGGGGGGGGGGTGGTGGTCGCTTAAACCAAGTTTTACTGTATATGATGGAAGTGGTGACATCTACTGCAGCATTGTGTTGTGCTGTTGGCTTTTCCTAATGCGAAACTCACTAGCGGCTGGGGAGCTGCTGCTGGCATGACAACTAGACTGCTGGACAATAGAATTCACCGCCGGCTTCCTTGAGAAGTATACCGCTATCGCCAGTTGTTTGGCTGGTGTGTAAACTGCAGCTGTGTTGCACAACTGTAGGTTGTCAATGGTTGTTTTTTAAACTCAGGATGCCAAGACATGTAGACCTTCACTGTTCAATGTATATGTATATGTATATGTAGATGTAGATGTATATGTATATGTATATGTATATGTATATGTATATGTATATGTAGGTGTCAGTGACCAAGACGGTGGCCAATGTACGAATAGCAATAAAGCAAACTGCTCAATTGTCACTTTTCAGTTTTCACACAGTGTGGATGTGTTGGTGTTACTTGGCAGACAATCGACGCTGTTGTGTGCAAGTTAGAGATCGGGGGACGAGCGACAATGGCGATTGTAGAGTTGCCAGTCACCATGTGACAGTTTGCACACTGTGACTGGTACCAATCCAGCACCAGTCACTGAGTGTGACTTGTACCAGTCCAGCACCAGTCACTGAGTGTGACTTGTACCAGTCCGGCACCAGTCACTGAGTGTGACTTGTACCAGTCCAGCACCAGTTACTGAGTGTAACTTTACACACTGTGTGTCTTGTACCCGCGATCAATTTAGAGATTGGGGACCACCGGCAGTGGTCATTGTAGAGTTGCCAGTACAGTCCTAGTGTGACATTGCACATTGTCTTGTCTTTTGGTCGTTGTCACGTTTGTTCTAGTCTCCGTACCATTGTCTTTCATTATTCTTTCCGAGCTAGCCCAGTGGGTATGTGCGAGCTGGGTATGTGAACATAGTATTATTCTTTCCGAGCAGCTGGGTATGTGAACATAGTAAAGAATATTTTAAAAACATGTCACTGAGTGTACACAAAGTCACACTCAGTACACACAGTGACTTGTATCAGTCGCTGAGTGTGACTTTGTACACTGTGTCTGGTGCCAGTGATTTTTCTAAGTGTATTAGCAGACATCCACATGCACAGTTTGAGATTGGTGAAAGCAGCGGAAGCATGAATGGATTTGCTGCTGCTGCTGTTGCAGCGATTGGTCCCTTTGAGAGTGCAACTCAACTTCTGAATTTAGGGTTTGGGCTCACAAACTACTGCTGCTGCTGTTGCTGCTGCTGCTGCTGTTGCTGCTGCTGCTGCTGCTGCTGTTGCTGCTGCTGTTGCTGCTGCTGTTGCTGCTGCTGTTGCTGCTGCTGCTGTTGCTGCAGCTGTTGCTGCTGCTGCTGCCGATACTGCTGCTGGTGCTGGTGCCGTTGTTGTCCCCTCGGGAACGGACATGATAATTCACCTCAACTTTTTTTTATTGTATATACAATCACCATGATCTGCTCTGTTTTTTGTCCATGTCTCGGTCTTGCTACAGGCGTTCAAGTCGTCACTTTCTCCGACTGGGAGCGTATCAACGCAGTGGAAGTGGAGCGTGGGCAGGTGATTGGCAAGCCACGTGAGAAGGTGGTCGACGTTGACGAAATGCTGGCCATTGCACGAGGGGCGGCGGACAGATGAGGATTGTTGGAGACTTGCTCTTCAAGCTGTGATTTATGCAGCGTACGATAGCTGCTAGTCACTGTGAACAACTGAGTACACACTGTGATGGCCGGTGGTGACGGCAACATTACCTCAATCCTCACTAGCCTAGCCATCTTGCCAGCTCTTGTTTCAGATCCGATGTGCAGGCGGGCCCGTTGCTGTGTGCTGCGTTGCCTGTCTACAAGTTGTCATCGTGTAGGTAGGCCCGATGCTGTGTGTTGCGTTGCCTCAGCCTGTCTATGAGTTGTCACCATGCGGGCAGGCCCCGGTGCTGTGCGCTGCATTGCCTCTCTATGAGTTGTCACCGTGCGAGCGGGCCCGATGTTGTGCGCTATGTTGCCTGTCTATGAGTTGTCACGATGCTGGTCCACCTGTGCAGCCCCATTATGCCGGTAGCAGTGACTGTATGCTGGTGCATGGTGTGATGCAGTGGACACTCTCTCAGAGAATGCATGGTGATATTCTGCTAGCTCCCGATGGTGGCATCGTGCTGCACGCCACATTGGCTTTCCCGCAATTGTCGGAAAGTTCATGCAGACTATTCTGGGTGTAAACTGTATAGTATTGTGGTGCTTGTTGTGCGTTGCGTCATGCCATGGAACGTTAGTTTTTCGCCAAGCTGTCACACCCCGCGTTGTCGTACTGTAGTCCTCTGCGCATCAGCAGGATCGTGTTCCGCATGGACAGATGGATGGTACGCCAAAAGCTAGTCGCTACCGTCATCGTTGTTGTCTGGACTACCTGTAAGAGAATACAAGTATCTGTTTGTCGCAAACGCTACTGTTCGTTGATGGCGGTATTTGCGTAGAACTCAACAAGTATCTGGTTCTCTCAGCTCCCAGTGCTCACGACCGCGCTCGCAAGCGTGTGTGTGTGCCCAGTTTTTCACAGTGACTGGTGCCCATGTAAGTAGCTACACTGCTTGCATCAGCCAGTGTGTATTGCTGGCTGCTGTGTATCAGGTGTATTGATGAGTCTGACACACTATCAGTATCACCACCGCATGCGTCATGCATGTGTTCATCACCTGTGTTCTGCGTAGTCTGCAGGGACAACACTGAGGGTATGAGCATTGCCCAGTTTATAACATTCATTGATGGGATTATCCTTTTTTTCCTTTACTGAATCCGTTCACAACAATAACAGTCCGATTGTCTGTTTGTCTGTTTCTTTTTCACGTGTTTCTAACCTGACTTCCCGTTCCATTCATGGCTTCACCATTCCACCATTGTCCTCCTTTCCTTTCTCTGCTGGCGCATTGCTTACTTTTCCCCATGCATATAATTATTATGCTTTCCTCCCAATTATTTGGTGCGCCTGCCATTCGAAGACGCCGAGACCTCTGGTTGGTTGTAGTGAGCATGGCAGGCCCCACCAGCACCATCTCACCCAAAGCTAGCCCCATGCTAGCCCCATGCTAGTCCCATGCTAGCCCCATGCTAGTCCCATGCTAGCCCCATGCTAGTCCCATGCTAGCCCCATGCTAGCCCCATGTGACTGCTGGGGAGTTGTGTATCTTGTAAAAAAAATAAAACTTCAAAACATTGCCATGCCATCTATCCAAGTATCCATGCAGTTGATACTGTACATGTACTGGGTTTTCACAAGTAGTCACCATTGCTTTGATGTAGTGTTGTGGACATGGAAATCCGGTCACACGTCTAGCGGCCCCAGGGCGCTGGCCATGCAGCCGTGGATAAGCGGTACACACATTCACTTATGGGCTGCAGCGTGCTGGTCGCATCGGATCAACATGTGCACTGCACGCAGCGTTCTGTAGGCGCTGAGGGCGCCGGCCCCGGTCAATCGGCTGGATTTCCATGTCTGCTACAGTACATGTACTCAGACCAGCCGGAACCCGTCCGGTTTGGTCAGGCCATCACCGCACCAACTTGTTAGCCATCAATGTGTGTGTTTACTGCTGAGGAGGTTGCTGTACCGGCATGTTCACCCGCTAGATCATACACAAAGCACTACAGCAGTCTCCGGCTAGCTGTATGCTCAGTCTATGCATTCTTGACCTTATCTTTTCTTTTTTCTTTTTTAAATGTTTTACTGCCAGAAGTCTTCATATAAGGAGGCAGATATGCCTGTTTGTTGTACGACTTTAAATAAATCCAACCAACCAACCAACCAACAGCCGTCCCGCTTTATTAATCTGTCACTGTTCAAACCAGCACCCTCTTTCATTAAACCAGCACCATTTTCAGTACCGGTAACCAAAAAGTCTTCTTCGTGCACACTCCAGCAGAAAATCAGATTTGTTAAAGGGGAAGTTAAGGCAAAAATTAAAATTTCACCAGTTGTAGTCTTCGGGGTGCTGAGTCGAATGGTCTTGGTCCGAGAAAGCTGAGACGCTCCCTTCCTACTTGAATCCCAATCGAACTCGCGCACTTCCACCGAAACTGGGTGACTGCGCCCTACTAGATGGGGATTTGTATGCAAAATGTCACTAAAAGCGCCATTTCGTTCTTATAAAAGCACGGATGACCGCGATTGGCCCATATGTTGTACTCTTTTGGACGCTGCGTCGACTGGTCTTGGTCCGAAAAGGCTGCGATGCAGCGTTCCTCCTTTATTCCCAATCGAACATGGTTGAACAAGCGGTCACGTGCTCCTGGTTGCCCAAATCACCTGGTCACCACGCCAGCAGGCGACAACTTTCACACCAAGGTTCAACTCGAGTGACAGGACTGCACCCAAAAAAGGTCAAACAGGCTAGTAAGTTGTACCCTGCAGGCACGGTGACCAGGTGACTGGTGTACGCAGGAGCACGTGACCGCTTGTTCAACCATGTTCGATTGGGAATAAAGGAGGAACGCTGCATCGCAGCCTTTTCGGACCAAAACCAGTCGACTCAGCGTCCAAAAGACTACAACATATGGGCCAATCGCGGTCATCCGTGCTTTTATAAGAACGAAATGGCGCTTTTAGTGACATTTTGCATACAAATCCCCATCTAGTAGGGCGCAGTCACCCAGTTTCGGTGGAAGTGCGCGAGTTCGATTGGGATTCAAGTAGGAAGGGAGTGTCTCAGCTTCCTCGGACCAAGACCATTCGACTCAGCGCCCCGAAGACTACAACTGGTGAAATTTTAATTTTTGCCTTAACTTCCCCTTTAATCCAGCAGGATTTTCCTTAGCACAAATGATGCCGGATCATACCGGGGACGACTGTAGTAAATAATTACCAAGTCCTCTAAGACAGGGAGTATCGCGGCCATGAGAAAGGAGACTAGAACCAAAAAGGGATCCGGGAAACCAGCACCCTCTTTCATTAAACCAGCACCATTTTCAGTACCGGTAACCAAAAAGTCTTCTTCGTGCACACTCCAGCAGAAAATCAGATTTGTTAACCAGCAGGATTTCCTTTAACCTTAGCACAAATGATGCCGGATCATACCGGGGACAACTGTAGTAAATTACCAAGTTCTCTAAGACAGGGAGCATCGCGGCCATAAGAAAGCAGACTAGAACCAAAATGGGATCCGGGAATGAGATAAGAAATCAAGTGCGCGGCAGAATTGCACAGCCTCGGTAAAAAAATTAAAATCTTAACAAAGAGACAACAGTTTTAGGCTGGCAATAAAGGAAGACACAACAACAGGCGAGAATAACTCCTTGGCACAGCCTGCAGCATGAAGCCTAAATAGTAGCGCACAGCCCAGCCAGTACGGCACAGATTAACCAGTAGCGCACAGATTACCATTATGGCTAGGACCTTACCAAACGACAGGACAGCCACACAAAGCCAACGTATTGAACACACCCAGTGCCTAACAGGAAAGAATAATTGAGAATTGGCAGGATGGCCATCTTGTGTAGTACCCAGGGGAGCGAATGATTAGAAACAAATGGGCATAGACGCAAACAGCAAAGGCCTGCGCCTCCTCCAGTGGCCCTTACCCTGGCCAGGTCAGGGGTAATCTAGATTTCACAATGAGAGTGTGAGTGAGTACATTGCCATCGTTTATTCGGATGCAAGAGACGCATCATTAGTATATTGGAAGTCTGAATCAATGCCTGGGATATGGGGATAATTGGTTAAAAGAAATCCGAGTGAAGCACGGTGATGGGGTAATGAAATTGTCATTGCAAGCCATATCAGGGAGAGAGAGACACAGAGAGAGACAGACAGAGACAGAGAGACACAGAGAGAGACAGAGAGACAGAGAGAGAGAGAGAGAGAGAGACAGATGGAGACAGACAGACACAGAGAGACAGAGAGACACAGACAGACAGACAGACAGACAGACAGACAGACAGAGGGGATAGACAGACAGACAGAGGGGATAGAGTCCTTGGCCTGAGCGAGGAGGAGAAGCGAGAGAGACATTTATACATGTTATATCTGCATGTGGAAGTGCATGCACATTTCCATTTCCCTGACAAGCCGACACAATGGTATTACCGAAACATGCATACTCGAGATGAGAGCGGGTCACCAACATGCCCTTCCACCCAGCACACCCGTCCACACTGTATACGATACAGAGTGCCGGATTCATGCATACGCAGGACACTGAGGTCTCACCGGCAGGTGCCATGGTGGGGTCACAATGCAGCAGGCCTCATCGTGGAAGTACACGCACAACATCAAGACATACCGACGCTTTAACCACGCGCCGCTCCAGCCTGCGCCTGCACCGGCTGCTCGTACATGCGTCATATTTACAACCACAGATGCGAACACACAGCTCCAGGTTTCAGTCCAGCCGCAGATTTCAGACTAGCCGCAGGCTTCGGGGTGGCCACAGACTTCACGGTGGCTGCACATTTCGCTGGAGGACCAGATGGAATGCCACCAGTAGCCACACCTGAATGCTACCAGGGATCAGCTTGTCGCATGACAACATCCACATCATGAGGTGGACACAGGTATTGGCACAGTGGCTCGCAGTATCCACTGTATCAGGCGGACACAGGAATCGGCACATCGGCTGACAACCAAAATCAATACACACGGAACGGTTTGTACACACATGCACAAACACACGGAACGGTTTGCTCGCGGGTACAACTGTGTACGAGCAGCAGCACCGCAGACTGTTAGTGCAAGTCATCTTACGCAGGCGTACAGTGGACATGAATAGAGATCGCCACGAAGCTTCCCGCCAAGTCTTCACAAGCCTCCGTCATTACCACCATCCTCGTCACCACCACCACCATTATTGTGCTGCCTGTCTCTCTCATAGCTTCTTCTTGTCGTCGGTATAGATGGATATGAGAGAGTCGGTGAAACCTGCCGCCATACACAGCTGTGACAAGAGTGACACGAACACAACACAGGGATAGGATCGGACACCAATCACCCACACACTGATTGCAATATCGGATACCAGACTGTCCAACCTCCTGGCCACCCCAAATCTGGATACTGAAAAGATCTGAAAGCACCCGACGTGATACAAGTGGGCATGAAGCTGCCATGACCGCCAAAAAGTGTGTTATCGGGCACTGCCGGGTGACAAGTCGCATGAGCTCCATGTGGGATAAGTGCCTGCATCAGCCATCTATTCCGTGTGTATGTGATGGATTGTAATCCGTTATCAGAGTTGAGACATGAAAAGTGGGACAAAAGTGTCGATATCTCATGAAATCAGGACAAAAGGCGCCCGTGCGAAAACCTCGGCAGGGTGTACTGTCGGGTGGCAAAGAACTGGGAGAGTCAACCTCCTAGCCTAGGCCGTTCATTTTCATTTTCATGTATTTATACAGCCTATCAGGGGCATAGCAGCCAGTCAGACCAGTCCGGCTTTGGCAGGACCACTTTTTTTAAACACAAATGCCAAAAGTGCCCAGAATGCAGGATTTTGCACCCTAATTTCAAAATTTTCCCGCGGGGGACCCCCAGAACCCGCCTCTAACGGTGGTGCGACACGCGCCTGTCTATGCGCAGTTGAGTCACTGTGTATACATTGGTATGCTGTGCTTAATGAAATTCTAGCCTGGTCGTCCTTCGGCGCTCTGTTCTTCGGCACGCCACAGCACAATACGCATATTACCACGATTACAGCCGTCCCCATCACTATACCTTATAGGGATGGAAGCTCAAGGCGCTAACGGCTGCGATTCTCTGCCCCATGAATCCATCGTGCCACTTGATGGTGCCAAGACTCTCCTGCGAGTCGATGTGGTAGGTCTTGGCAACTTGATCACGTGATCCACTGTGCACACACATACACACATACACGCACGCGGACGCACCCACATACATACACACATAATTATACATACACACATAATTATACACGCACGCACGCACACACACACACACACACACACATACACACCATTGGACCGTTGGACGCCCATCGCCGAAGGCGATGATAGCGATGCTACAGCAGAAGCCATAGCAGCTTGTGCTGGGTTTGCACCATAATACACATAATAACAACTTGCAAGGCTGAAGAATTGACCGCCACTATTCAGCCTGGTCTACACCACACAACTATGAAGTGACTTTTTCTGGCCAAGTAGGGATTCACACACACGCACGCACGCAAGCACGCACGCACGCACACACACACACACACACACACAGACCGACAGAGTACTTACACGGCCAGGAGAGGAGCAGTACGATGCACGTCCATGCAGGAGATACGTATACCGGTCTTAACCTGTTCCGTAGACTTCTCAAACCGCGGGTCCCAGTAGCGCACATCACCAGCCACACTGTATCCATAGCAACAGCAGCAACAACGACGACAACACCGACGACGACCACAATAACAGCAGCAACAGCAGCAGCAACAACAACGACGACGACAGCGACGACAACAACAACAACAACAACAACAACAACAACAACAACAACCTCTTATTGGCAATGGTGCCATCGTGAGAATAAAGAATTCAAACAACAACAATGGTGCATGGCAGAGAACACAACCTTAACAAACATATTCTCTGAGTTCTGACTGGATAATAAGATAATGCGAAAGAGCTTTCGGCCATTGTCATAAAGTGCATGGCTGTCGTACTCAGTAACAAGTGAGAGGCACTCTAGTGATCGACGGAATCCTTTTCACGCAGTCCTTCCCACCCTGATAGGATAGTGTGGCTAACGCCCATCCTTTGCATTGCCTTCTGCCATTGGACGGTGAAATAAAATAAAATTAGAGCTGACAATAGACCTCCCCGGCCTGTTCCGGCTTACCTGGATGAAATGATCTTTCCTTGACTGGCGCCTTGCTGTAGGTGCACTTTGACTACGTACGCTGTGTGCTCACGTAGTAGTCGCACCAAACTGCAACAGGGCACAGTTCACAACATGGAACATGCGGCACAGTTCACAACATGGGACATGCGGCACAGTTCACAGCATGGGACATGCGGCACAGCTCACAACATAGGACAAGGACAACAAGAGAGAGAGAGACGGATAGAAAAACGGAACAAAGGACAGATGGACGATTGGGAAGACGGACAGGCGGGCGGGTGGCCGGGTGGGCAGGCAGACAGACGAACAGACGGACGAACAGACGGACAGGCAGGCATGCAGACAGACATACAGGAACATGATACTTTGCCTCCAAAAGGGAGTGAGGCTGCACATCATGAACCTGTGCAAATCTCACCCAGGATTAGTATACATCTCACCCAGGATTAGTATACATCTCACCCAGGATTAGTATACATCTCACCCAGGATTAGTATACATCTCACCCAGGATTAGTATACATCTCACCCAGGATTAGTATACATCTCACCCAGGATTAGTATACATCTCACCCAGGATTAGTACAGTCGTCCCTCTGTAATCCGGCACCTTTTGCAACGGCATTTTCTGCTGGATAAACAAGGGTGCTGGATTATGAAATCCTGCCCTCCAACCCGGCCCACATGTTATCATACACGTCATGTTTGTGTCGTACGTCAAAACGTAGGGATTTTCTGTGTCAAACCAAGTACTTTGTGGAATGCATGTCTATAAGACTTAGTTGTACACTTAGGAATATCCTATGTACTGGCATGGGATATTCCCAAGTGTATGTTGCATGTGTTGTGTATGTTACAATGCTCCCTGACGGTATGCGATGTACAACTGCTGGATTAGAAAATCGAATTATGTACAGTTTGAGTGATTTGTTGCAGAAAATCGCTGCTGGAGGCGGAATTCAAGTGCCGGATTAAAGCGTAGAAAATGAACTGAAAAATCCGTTTTGCCAGAAAGTGTGCTGGTTTGCAAGGGTGCTGGATAAACAAGTGCCAGATTAGAGAGGGACCACTGTATATACATGTATTACGCATATGGTGCATGTGATAACACGAGCACAAACGTGACATGTACAAACGCCCTCCGCTTCCACACTGCGACACCAGCACACTATCACACTAGCACACTACCACCACACTGCCATAATCAAGCAGCTTACCAATCAGTCGGTGGCAGTCTCCTATCGTACAGCCGAATGGTACCGTCACCACATCCGGCGATAAGCAACGACCGTCCAGCCACGTCACTGGTTAAGCTTGTCACACACGTGTCAGCACCAGTTGGAATATCCTGTACATGGTATGGCATACGCACATACAGACACACACAGTACACACACGGACCGTCCACAGTGAAAATGAACACGTCTTTAGACATTCGCAAACAGTCAGGAGTGCCCAGCTCACTTCCACGTGCACAGTTGTCATTAAAGACAAAAGCAGGATGTTGAGCAACGTTTGACAGGGCAACAGTGAACTCAGGCATGTAGCTCGTGTATAGTCAGTGTAGTCCGGTCACCGCACCAGCAAAGGGCCGTCATAGGTACTGCATAGTTGAAATGATTCATAATTCTTTGTTCCCATCTTCCATAGGTCCGTCAAATAGTAGTAATAGGTTTTTTCATTTGACCCGACGAGACTACACGACGCTTGCAGACCACAGCACGAACAGTTCACCAGTAGTTGAAATAGGCAAAATGGCGACTATGAGGTTGCCAGTGATACATGGTCACCACACCACACCACAGATGTGACTCTGGTACATAGTCACCACACCACTGATGTACAGATGTGACTCTGGTACATGGTCACCACACTACGCCACAGATGTGACTCTGGTACATAGTCACCACACTACTGGCACAGATGTGTGAACTACGCCCCTGGAAGATGAATGTTGTTTATTAGCTTATTGGTTACCTGTATGATCTGCTCTCTCTGTGTGTCCCAGACGCGTATGATTCGTGCATTGCCCGACGCAAACAGCACCCCACTCTCCTGCTCCCAGTCTAGTACCAGACTCGGAACAGGCTGCTGGGTTGCCAGGCCAGTGGCTGCTGCAGTCAACACACACACACACACACACACACACACACACACACACACACACACACACACACACACACACACACACACACACACACACACACACACACACACACACACACACATACACGCACACATACACGCACACACACACACACACACACACACACACACACACACACACACACACACACACACGCATGCATGCATGCATGCACACACACACACACACACAGTGACACACACAAACGCACACACACACATGCACACACACGCACACAGTGACACACAGTGACACACGTACACACACACACACACACACACAGGGAGGAAGGGAGGGGGCGGGGGGGGGAGAGAGAGAGAGAGAGAGAGAGAGAGAGAGAGAGAGAGAGAGAGAGAGAGAGAGAGAGAGAGAGAGAGAGAGAGAGAGAGAGTGAGTGAGAGTGAGTGAGTGAGAGAGACAGACAGAAGGAGGGGAGAGGGTGGGGGTGGATGGAATGACTTACCGCGTGGAACGGGTGCAAGATCAGTCAGCGCTCGCCATGCTGCAACTTGAGAGCCACGTCCCTCGATGTTGTAGTCACGCCACACACGTACACAGCCATCGTCTACACATCAAACATACGCACACGCACACATGCACGCCCGCCCGCCCGCCCGCCCGCACGCACCCATACACACACGTGAGTACATTCTCTGGTAGACCACTACTCCATGAACACACCGGTTGCTCTGTGAGTGAAAATAGATCGTCTTTCTAAAAAAGTATTCACTGGTTAGAGGAAAAGACGCACTAAAAACTGTATAAAAGGTATAGCGTTAACTCCAGTTATAACGACCTCGCATGTAGCGGAATTTGTGATATAACGACCTCGCATGTAGCGGAGTTTGTTATATAACAAACACCTGTCCATGTTTGTTCCTATTGGAGCCCATAACAAATTGACATTTGTAGCAAAGTGTTTTCGTTTGTATTGAACTCAACTCTGTGTGGGGGAGTGTGGTAGTTATGCATTGTACATCACGCTGTAGTACTGACGTGCGCAGTCATGGTAACAGTGCATTGCGTAATGCTCTTGGCCATATGCTGCTGTTGAGCTGGTTTTACAGATGAAGAATCTGAGAGACACAATGGCTAGTTGTCTATTCTTTCCGTGTGCTTAGTCTGGTTTCTTGCATGCATACAGGGAGCATGTAAACCCTGTGCTTAGTCTGGTTTCTTGCATGCATACAGGGAGCATGTAAACCCTGTGCTTAGTCTGGTTTCTTGCATGCATACAGGGAGCATGTAAACCCTGTGCTTAGTCTGGTTTCTTGCATGCATACAGAGAGCATGTAAACCAAGTCCATGTTCATGTTCATGTACTGTATGACATGTCATTTGTGTGTACTAAAATTTCGATGTCAGGGACCTGCCCGGTTTCAGGTGTAATGTAGAATTAGGTGACCAGCCTGCCCTTCACATATAGTGCATACTCTAGTGACTTTTAGGTGTAATTTAAATTTAGGTGCCTGGTTTCTCTACCGAAATCACCGAAACTAAAGCTACACCGAAATAAACGTGTTATACCGTATTCGCTCACCTGTACCCGCCATGAGCAGTGAGACGTCGTGCGGATTGACAAGGTCCAGTGTAGTAATTCTAGCCTTGCTGTTGGCTGGGTGATTGTGGATGGTGTTCAGCTGAACTCCCATCTCCCAGTCCCACACACTGCACAGCAGAAACACACACACACACAATAAACCACAACAATAGCGTAGTGTCCTGTATTGAAGCCTGTCCCAAATATAAGCCTGTTTTGAACACTAAGCTTTCACAATACAAGCCCCATACAAGCCGCTGACCAACGGTACTGACGTTCTACAACTAACTGCCAATCAGCTCTAGCACGTCTTGGATGCGCACTCCAACGGCCTTCCAACTTGGAAGGTTCAAAGTTCTGAAGTAGAAATAACATAGGTGGGGAAGGTGAGCGCAACCAAGAGAAGCACGAGCTGAAAGTCTCAGCTAAGCTGATTGCCAAGTAACTAGTTATGTTAGCGCACATTATAGCGTAACTTGCAGTTCCTCGGTCCTCTTGTCCCATATATTCTCAACACAATTTGTTAGGCAGTGGTAACACAAATGTGTGAACTTTTCTTTACTTTTTTTCACACATTTTCCTCTTACTAAATAAGGCAATGCTGACGCCAAATTAGGTCCCATTCATTGCGTCCCTCCCTCCCTCCCCATACAGTATTGTCTCCAAAATAGATGTAGCTCCGATCATGTTGTTGGCTAACAGCCACAGCTCAAGTTGCACTGCTTTCTACAAAATTCTTTTAGTAATTCAATGTTTCGGTGTATGACCAGCATCAGGAACCAAAATTGCTGTTCAAATATCTCACGTGATATTCGTCTTGTCGGCCACTAGCAGCTCGTTCTGGTACGGGTGAAAGAGCAAACACTGGGGTGCCTCCGGGTTGCGGTTCACAAACACCTGATCCTCCAGGCGATACTTGGTGGAAGCTAGAGCGGATGCATACACACGTATAGACAACACAGGAGATATCCACTCAACATGCATATACACGTATAGACAACACAGGAGAATGTAGTACTGTACTATGTTCTGAGTCAGTGTGTACATGCGGGATATTACGCATGCGCACACTGACGATGTCGTTGTTGTTGTTTGAGAGACTGATGAGCAAGAATGTGTTTTCTATGGTAGCTGTGAGACTGAGAGTGTATTCTAGTATCGTGGGACGCAGTTCCTACATTGGCGCAGTGAACACTGTGATCTGACCCCTAGCCAGCCATGGCGACAAGTCTTGGCCGCGCACCGCAACCTTTTCGTCTTGCTGACGACTCTGGAGATAGTTCCAACATTTCTGCCGAATTTCAAATTTGGCTTGAGGATTTCGAAGCCTATCTTGCTTTACAGAAGGTGACGGAGGCCTCAACCAAGGCGCAACTCCTTACCAATCTTGCCGGATTAGGGGTTCGCCGGATCGTGAAAGGCCTGTCTCTTCCGACTCCGAGCGGGTCTGACACCGAGTACACTGTTCTCCGTCAAGGCCTCAAATCGTATTTCCGCCCTGCAGTCAACACCACCGTCGAACGCCATAAGTTTCGCATGAGGAAACAGCAGCCTGCGGAGTCCCTCACCGCGTTTGCCGCCGGCCTGAGGACTGCTGCCGAGGCGTGCGAGTTCGATTCTACCACCAATGATTCCATTGTGGACTCGCAGATTCGTGACCAGTTTATCGCTGGTTTGGCCAATATTGAAATTCGTCGGGAGCTGTTGGCAGATCCAAACCTTACGTTGGCGACTGCCATCCGTAAAGGAGTCAGCATGGAACTCTCTTATTCAGAGTCCAAGCTCTACGACCAGCCGGGGAAGTTTGGATTTTGCCCCACGGAGGACTCCATTCCCAGTGGTGCGTCCGCCAATCGTGTTAGCACTCACTCACGTTCGTCACCAGTCAACTGCAAATATTGTGGGGAGCAGCACACTCCCGGAATGGCCCACTGTCCGGCAGCTGGAAAGAAATGCAACAACTGCGGAAAGATGGGACATTTCTCCAAGGTGCGCTTGTCACGGCGTGGTCGTCGTCAGGATGGGAGCCGACCTGGCCAGGCGAATGCGTGCAGAGAGGAAGAGTCAGCCAACATGTGCGCAACGGATGACTTGATATACCTGACGAAGCCACTCAGCAAGTCATCCCATGATGAGCGGTTCTTGATTACCCTGTCTGTGAATGGCAAGCCGGTGTCGGGATTATTAGACACGGGTGCAACGCGCACCATCTGCCCCGCCGACGTGGTCAAGCCAGACAGTGCTTGCGACCGTCGTCTCTGTGCGTACGATGGCTCGGAGGTCCCCACTCTCGGAATGGCGGACATCACTGTGGCGGGGAATTCACGTCAAACAGCATGCCGTTGCTTTGTGGTCCCCGAGGGGAAACTGGCACTGTTCGGCCAGGACATCATTTTCCAGCTAGGCTTGCTGCAGATGGTGGAGACGGACACAGCGAACGTAGTCAACGCAGCACCTGTCAACATCCGTGTCAATCCAGATGCAACCCCTACAGCAGTGCCATTTCGTCGCCCAGCATTCTCAGTTCGAGACGACATCGCAGCCGAATTGGAGCGTCTATGTAAAGCGGACATAATCGAGCCTGTCAAAGAGGCAACAGAGTGGGTTTCTCCCATCGTGCCTGCTCGCAAGTCCAACGGCACACTACGCCTTTGCGTCGACTTCCGCCAGTTGAACCAGCATGTCGTTCGTGAACGCAGGGCCATCCCTACCCTGGATGAGATTACGGAGCAAATCCATGGCTCGACAGTGTTCTCCGTGTTGGATGCTGAAGCCGGATTTCATCAGATTGATTTGGATGAGCAGTCCCGGCCGCTAACGACTTTCAGCACCCACAAGGGCCTCTATCGATTTAAGCGACTTCCGTTTGGCATCGCATCGGCGCCTGAGACCTTCCAGCGAATCTTGTCAAATGTGTTGGATGGTTTGGAGGGTGTATTCGTTTACATCGATGACATCCTTATCGTTGGGAAGGACAGAGACGAGCACGATCGACGCCTCAAACTGGTCCTTGAGCGACTCAATGCCGTCAACCTCCGATTGAATTGGCCAAAGTCTCAAGTCCGTCAAGAGTCGGTCCGGTATCTTGGATGTGTGCTGGACAAATCTGGCATCCAGCACGACTCGGCAAAGGCCGAAGCGATCCGCAACATGGCAGCACCGGGGAGCCTCAAGGATGTACGCCGAATGATCGGAATGCTAACCTACTTGGGCAGATTCCTCCCAGGTCTGGCTGAGCACACAGAGCCGCTTCGCCAGTTATCACGACGTGAGCCTTTCCTCGTAGACAAAGAACTTCTTCAGGCATTCAAACAGTGTCAAGACAACGCTGCCAAGCTACTGACCAGATTGGCATTCTTCGATGCCTCGCCCAGCCGTCCCACCGCCATTAGCTGCGACGCTTCACCCGTGGGCCTTGGCGCTATTCTTTGGCAGAAAGCAGACACAGGTGACTGGCAGCCTGTCTGTTGTGCCAGTCGTTCGCTCAATCCAACGGAAGCACGCTATTCCCAGCTGGAACGTGAAATGCTGGCTGTGGTTTTCGGCCTAACCAAGTTCCGACAATATGCCCTTGGTCGCACCGTAGACATTTTGACTGATCACAAGCCGTTGGTTCACATTGTCAAGAAGTCGTTCGATGAAGTTCCGCCACGGCTTCAACGATGGCTATTGGCTCTGCTGCCCTTTGACTACCAGCTCAGCTTCACACCTGGCCAGACCATGTGTGTTACCGACGCTTTGTCACGTGCCCCCCTAGCATCTGCGGAGGCGTCACCAGAGGAGGATAGATCCATGCGCGAATTCGTCGGCATGGTCTTGTCAGAAGTGCCAGTTTGTGAAGCCGATCTCGAGGCTGCTACTGCTGACGATCCATTATTGGCCGCAATAGTCCGCCGGGTCCTCACCGGTGCATGGCGGGACATCTTGCCTGCTGAGGAACCATTCTTCATGATGCGAAGCCAGCTGACCGTCGCAAATGGCATTCTTCTTCTGGACAGCCGAGTTGTTATCCCATCGGCTTTGCAACAGCCGGTTTTGAAGCTAGCTCATGAGGGGCACCCAGGCAGCGCTACGTTCAAAGACACCCTTCGCCGTTCTGTTTGGTGGCCTCGTATGTCACGGGATGCTGAGCAGTTTGCAGCAGCATGCGAGATTTGTTGGCGGAGCCGCACCAACCACAGCCAAGAGCTGCAGCCAACGGAGGTTGTTCCAGTGTGGCACAAGGTGGCAGTTGATTTGGTGGAGATCGAAGGCCGCCACCTGCTCTCGTTGGTCGACTACGGGTCTCGTTTCCCGGAGCTGATTGTCCTGCCTGGAACCAAGTCCCAACATGTCGTGATGGCTTTGTCCACTATCTTCGCCAGGTTCGGCATTCCGCTCGAGCTCGTCAGTGACAATGGCCCACAATTTGTGTCCGCCGAAATGGGTGAGTTCCTCCAACGCCTGGGAGTTCATCACATCCGAGTCAGCCCACGCTATCCACAATCAAATGGCATGGTGGAAAGATTTCACCGCACCGTTCGTGCGAGATTCGGGACTCTCAACAGCCAGATGCCGTTTATCCAGCGTATCCAGCAGGTGCTTTTCTCAATTCGCACCTCCACCCACCGGATGCTTGGTACCACTCCAGCACACGCTTTCTTTGGTCGCCACATCCGAACTCGCGTGCCCAGCGTTGTCAATGCCCCCATCGTCCACCTCGACACCCAGTTGTCACAGAAACTCGGCATGGCAGTACAGCACGACCAGCACCGGGGCGTGAAACCCCTCCCATCCCTGTCGCCAGGCTCTTCAGTGCTCTTGCAGGATGGCCACACAGCCCAGCAACGGAAATGGAAAGTTGTTGAACAACGAGGTCGCTCTGTAATAGTCTCTGATGGTGCACGTGTTGCTTTTCGCAATCGGCGACACGTTCGACCGTGGCAACCCACCTCTAGCAGCACGGGACTGGAATCTCCCGATGTACAACCGTCCAACCAAGCCGTGGTTTCACCGCCTGCCGCTCCGGCTGAACAAGCAGAGCCCCATGCGTCGTCCCCGTCGGTGGCTCAGTCGACGAGGCCATTGGTGCCTCTAGCGGGACAGCCCTCATCTGCACAATCGTCTCCCACGCCCCCAGTTAGCCTCCGGCGATCAGAGCGCACCATTGCTGCCCCAGATAGGCTCAATTTGTAAGCCATTTCTTGAATACCTCATGCCAGGACTGTCCCTCTAAATGAGATCTCTTGTGATCAAACCATCGTATATCGGAACCTGCCTTACACACGTGGGAATCCGTTCGTGTTTGTTCCTTTTCTTCATGCTACTTTCATTTTTATTGACACCCATAATTCCTCGTATGTTTTTTTGTGGTGCCTCTTCCCCATCCACCTTCTTTTCTTCTTCTTCTTTTTTCTTTCTTTCTTTTTTCCCTTGGGGAAGGGGTAATGTTGTACTGTACTATGTTCTGAGTCAGTGTGTACATGCGGGATATTACGCATGCGCACGTGACGATGTCGTTGTTGTTGTTTGAGAGACTGATGAGCAAGAATGTGTTTTCTATGGTAGCTGTGAGACTGAGAGTGTATTCTAGTATCGTGGGACGCAGTTCCTACAGAGATATCCACTCAACATGCAGCCGCACATAGCCGGCCGCACCCCCTACTCACAACTCACATCTGTTCACTACAGGAGAAAGCCAATGAGTATGCAGCCATGCATAGAGAATCCCCCCCCCCCCCCCTTGGTAACAGGTACACGGAATTGTTACTCACATAAACACAGGAGGAAGCCAATGAAAATGCAGCCATGTATAGACAATCCCCCGATCCCCCCCCCCCCCTTCCCCGAATAAGGAGTAATTGCATGGGTCACACAATGCAGGATGTACTGTTGTTTTCACGATATCTACAACTATGTGCGGGAGACATGAAAGAGTTAGGGTGCCAGTTTCCATTGAATGGACTGTAAGCATTGGTATCAATGACTGGACTAACTCGCATCCTTCAGCGTGGCTCTGCTCTCAGCTCGCTGTTCAGTGTTGCGCTTGAATCTCCAGTGTCGCTCCAGAAACTGCTTGCCATCAGCATCGCTCTTTTTCTCCCACTGCAGGCCGGCATACACACACACACACACACACACACACACACACACACACACACACACACACACACACACACACGTACGTACGCACACGCACACACACACACACACACACACACACACACACACACACACACACACACACACACACACACACACACACACACACACACACACACACACACACACACACACACACATACACACACGTACACAAACACACACGTACACAAACACACATGTACACACACACACACACACGTACACATACACCACCCTCATACACACACACACACACACACACACACACGTACACACACATATCGTTGGACCTCCGACTCCCCATTAGTTTACCCTGGGCAATAATAGCAGAATTTGCTGTATCTCCTATGGCAAGACAACT